CCTTTCTATAACATCAAGAAATGGTTAGATATTCTAGTCTTCTCGGATAGGGACGAATAAATGGAGGTCCCGTCTCCTGCAGGGTTGGGGTAGGAGACGTTAATTTCCCACACACGAGATTACTGTGTGATGGATGTCCTCCCCTGGGTGGGATGGGTGGGAAGGTGAGATCGATGGACTGAAGCGGCTGCCAGAGGCGCCTGATATGCTGACGTCTATTCTCAACCTTAAACTGCACCCGTAATTCAGCCTTAGACTGCAAGTGGTCAGAAACACTATATTATATTATTATTATTATTATCCCAACTCAGTTTTGAAGACTGAGCTCTCAGAATTAAAAATTGTACAGAAGTTTTGTTTGTTTGGTCAGATTTGATATGGAATTATTTGCTCAAAGAAACATTGTCCATTTTGAATTGTTTCACCGCGTTTAGTTTAAGATTAGATCAAGCTAACACAAATAGTTTTCACGGAATAGTGCATTTCATAACCTTTCCACTGATATATAGTTTATGGTGGTCATGCTGCAAATAGTGCATTAAAAAAATATTTTGCCTAGGACACCTGCAAAGGTCTACAGAATCCTTAAGAGACAAAATTGATTGGGGGCTTCCAGCAAAACGGTTCAGTACAAGAAGTAGCTACAGCATGAAGAAATATGGTTAACATTAATTGGCAAACAAGCAGCAACAAGGAGTAATAACTTGACTACTGATGACAATCCTTAAATGCTATACGTTAAATGACTTACTATCTCTTCATCATCAATATCTTGTGCTGATAAAGTCCAAATCTTAGTAACATTTTCATCTTTGACCTTTGGCTTCAAAGCTGTTAAATAAATTTACAAACTACTAGTTAAAAGCTCTTTTAACAAGCAACAAAGAACAAAATTGGAATCAAAACCCACAATGAAAAGAGGTTTGCCTGATCTTAATAAAAAGCACCTTATAAACTCTAGAATGATGACAATAAGAACTTTAACAAGCCTTTCTGTTTCTTGGTTTCTTGAAATTGGAAAAAAGAAGAAAGTGGGCAAGTAATACAGCCACACAAATATTGCAAGTAGGTGATGGTCAGAGCTGAAAAGCTCATTGTAGTCTTATGAAAGATGTTGTAAATGAACAGATGACAAGGCTGCATGATGGAAATTGTTCATTGTAAGAGCAAAATCATATCAATTTTAAAATTCCCACAAAATACTTTCAAAATTAAGCAAGGTAACTGCCCAAGTTTGGATTAAAAGGTTTCCTTGGTTTAATTTCTAAGGCTCAGTTCAGACGCCGTACTTCAGCTGTGCTGAATCGAATTCAACTTTAGGCCGACCTAAATTAGTTAATCCTGGCTGAATTGATTCAGACGCCGAACTTATTTCGGCCGAAATTAATTAACTGAAGTAAATTTGTGGCCGGGGCCGGCGCAGTGTTATAAATAACTGACGAGAGTTATTTGAATGGCGTGGTCGTTGTAAGGAAGTTTTAAGTATTTTATTTGGTCACTTCTCTAAAGAAGTACCCGAATAAAATGCGGCAGTTGATCAGTAAGTGTTTCGGCGCGACGAAACATATTT